GAAGACCAGCATGCCAGAAACCACAAGAGCAACTGATGACAGTGCGCATGCCCACAGAGAGAGCTCTGCGAGCCACCTCTGGCATACATGCCATAGGTTCGCCATCATGGATCTAGTACTTACATTTTCATTGAGTGTAGTTTGCATACCTGTTCCTTATTGATCAAATGGATTCCATTTAATCTATGTGGGATAGTAACTATGTGCTAATCTTTGACTAGCCATGTTGTTTATTAAGTAAGAACTTCTGCTCTGAAGAAGCTAGCAAAATGTCAGCATGTATTCATTGTTTGACATAGCATTACATAGATATTATTATTCCAATATTCCACATTTATTTCTTATGGACCTTTTAATAAGCTATGCCTGGTGTGTTGATCATCCATTAAACAGTTTTATGTGAGAAAAAGTAACTTAAAATTATTTTAGATAATGGAGTCTTAACACAAGGTATCAGCCCAACCCCAGATAACCAGTCATAATTTTAAAACATAACCCTTCAGTGCTTCATAATTCAATATAAGCATATATACTTAGAATAAACCAGGAAAACCCTCTAGAAATTGACTTGGGTTTGATTTATTGATTCACTGACTGACTGACTAGAGAGGAGGATTGTGTTTTTAAAAGGAAGCTCTCTGATCAAAACAATGAAGATCCAAGATTCATTATATTTTAATTTATGTAGGAACACGCCAGGAACATATCCATGTGCCAATCTTATGCTACTCTTTTCTTATTCTGATGCCAGTTTAACTAAAAGCTTGTTTATGAAAAGCCTGTTTGAAGGAAGCTATTAGTGCCCGATTTTACATTTCCCTTGCTGCTCCGTCTTAGCAACTTTCCATTCTAGAAAAGCATTATCAATTGCTTTCCTTTCTGCGAATAGTTATTACTTGACATATATACTTTTCTATGTGTCTGTGTTTAGATATACAAATGAAAAAATATTATAGAGAAACAGTTACATTTATATATACAAAATAAAAACATCAAAATACAAGTATATGAAGGCAAAGCAAACAGCTTAAAATAGTTTTTTTAATATCTTTCCAGTTTGGTTCAAAAAAGTGCTGCAGCTATAGTTGAGAAACAGGAGTTTCAATAGTAGAGTAGAATCACTTGCCTGACATGTAGACTATCACTGGTGTGAAATCCAACTTTTTAAAATTTCTATATATCTTCCCTGAGCTTGTCACCATTTCATCATTTACTGTATCAGTCATTTGAATTAGAAAGCTTAACTAACACCCTTTTTGCAACCACTTCAATAATTTTGAAAAATTATTTTTTAAAAATATTTTAAAAGAAACCCATGGGAAATCTAGAAAGCGCAAGAAAAGAAAAATAGTGATGAAAAAAGGAAAGTTGACAAATCATACAATCACTCTTTTATGGAAACTCCGGTTTCCCAATATTAGCTGTAGCAGACCTTAGTACAAAGCTACTCTGCTCAATAGCCAATCCAAGTACCTGAGGTTGCCAGAAGACGTTACGCCCAACTAGGCAAACCAGGCAACGTTTGAGATGGCAAGAGCTGGAAAACACTCAACTTGGAGCAGGAAAACGTGAGCGGAGCTCACAGCCATGGAGGAGTGGAAGTGAATAGATGTATCCTCCATTAACAGTTGATTTCAGGAACTGTTAATGGAGGAAAACCTGATGGCATGTATATGTCGTAATAAACTTACATATCTTAATCTCATATTATATTAGCCTTCCATGTCTTAAGCCTGAAACTGACAGTATAAAAAGCTTTCATTCTCTCATTATACTAACTAAATTGGAACTGCTGTGTGACACGGCATTTTTTTCTTGTTATGGAGATTTCTATTTTGTAATTTAATTAGGAGATTATTAAAATAAAATAGGATACCAACTTTTTTCTTTGTATGGCCAGTTCTTTCGTGCTTCTGCATATATGTTTTCACATTTCAGAAAAGCAGGTTGGAAACACTTGCTACCTTTTTTAAACAAAAAACAATTGTAATTTGGGACACTTGCAATGCTGGGCTTGGTGAAATTCTTGCATTCTTTTACCAATGGGCCTGTGGGTAAGATAAGCACTTAATATTTTTAGAACTTGCTCCATAGTGCTGTTAACCAGTTTCTGTACTCATTCTCAGGTAAAGCTATGAAGAAATGGGTTGAGTCAATCACGAAGATAATTCATAGGAAAAAGCAAGCACAAGCCATTGGGCCAACTCACAATATTACTTTTGAAAGCTCACCACCCCCAATTGAATGGCATATTAGCAAACAAGGACAAACTGAAACATTTGACCTGCTCACTTTGCATCCAATAGAAATTGCCCGACAGCTTACTCTACTTGAATCCGAACTTTACAGGTAGTGCCTTTTTTCCTTTGAGATGTACGATTCTTGGTTAAAATATTGACTTAACTGTTTTTTTTAATGTCATGAGTCTATCTGCCATTTATTTTTACTAGCAGAATTATTAGTGTTACATTTTCTGAAGTAGACTTCCCTATTTTTAATGAACAGTTAATATCAGTAATTAAAATGAGAATTTCTCTTCATATGTTTGGAATTACCATATTTTTCAGAGTATAAGANCAGTATTCCAGCCTAGAGATCACAAGGGCTCGAGTGACTGTTGTGAGGGCCTCCTGGTTCAGGTGGGGCCGCAACTGGCGCACCAGGCGAACCTGGGCAATTTTGAGCATAAGATCACAATTGCTTGTGTCAAAGCTGCTCTGCTCCCATATCAGAGGGCCAAATATGATCATGTAGGTCTCCTTTTCTTAAATATGTTGCTTACCAGAAACGTGCCTCAATTGTTGTTGCCCCCAGTCCTTCCCACCAGGAACAAACTCCAGTATCATTTATCTTGTTATTCTCCTTTTTAAAATTATTTTTCTGTCTTGTCCTGTCACCTTCTCTTGTTTCCAATCCTGGCTGCAACCTCCTGCCTTTCTCCACTAGCCATAAATCCTTATGCCCCTCTTTGCCTCTTCCATGTTCCCTTTGCACATGTCTGTCCAAATGCTCTTTAAAATTCCCAGGAGTTTTGACATGGTGATATCTGAATAAAGTGAGACATAAAAATAAGAAACTGGGAAGCTGTCAGTAACAGAGAACCACATTGATTGATATAATTGAGTGCCAATTCTTAAGGAAATATATCCTCAAACTGTAAATAGCATGTTAAGTTAGCCCTCCTGTTAACATGTTTGTTTATATTCTGAAAATTGAAGGCTACAAATATTTCCCATTAAAGAAAAAGAAATACAGAATTGGACGGGGCAATTTAAGCTATCAAATACAAAAGGAATAAGAAATAGTAAGCCAAAGAAATTAAAATGTGAAATTTAAAAAAAAGGAAAAGGAACCATAGTAAAACTAGTTTACAACAATATTTTTCACCATATATCTCTGTGTCTTTCTGTCTTTGTTTCTGATCTGTCTATATGCTACTTCATACATTGCTTTTTTTGGGGGGGGGGGCTTTTTATCTCTTAGTTTTTCTGCACTTCGATTACAATTCCATCACTTCAACTTTTTTGGAATTCTCTTTCTTCTCAACCTATTCATTTTTCTGTTGTGTATTTGTTTTGTGGTCTAATCTTTATTCATTGTCTTGAATGCCAAACTATCTAACGTACTTTTTTCATAGTGATTATTCTTTTTTTTACCCAGCTCTCACTTGATAACTATTTATTTCTTGCAACATGCAACATACTGGCCATTACAGTATATTTTTACCAACATTTGCATATCCAAAATTTTATCTGTTTTCTTATTTTAATAAGCAATAGCTTATTAAATAACAAAGCCCATTAATTTACTGATTTATTCTAGTTTTTTTATACTTAGTTATGACTTGCGATGATTCATTCTATTTTTTCCTCTTAAACACAGACTTGGTTTTTAATATGTTAGTTTTCAGAAGCATATTCCTTAGTGGATCATTCACCCTAACATTTGCTATAAAAGAAAATTTCCATTGACAGCAAAGCATCACCTGCATAAAAACTCCTCAGCCATCACATCTGTAATCACCAATATCATTCATTGCACATTTATCTGTAAATAAGCGATGAAAGGAACATTGTGCGTATATCTCGTTCCCTGCTCAATGGTATACCTAAGCATTCCAATTATTCATTTGTATGCTTTACTTGTATCATCTGTAGCGCTCTTGCTATATTCAGCAACCAAGTTTAAATTTCACATTCATGTAAAACATTTTGTAATTCAACCCTTTTTTTATAATTTTGTTTCTCTAATGCTACAGTCAAATGCAACAAGGTATTTTGGAGCAAGTATGTATGAGCTGTGAGTGCCTTCTTAATTCAAACATATATTTTCTTGAGATTGCCAAAAATGATCTGTCCCACATTCAGAACTTATCACTCCTGTATCTTTCATTAGTTATCATAGTAGTTCATCATAAACCAGTTTACATTTTTACATTTAGATTCATTCTATTGGCATACATTACATATAAATAGACTCTCTTATTTCAAATTCATATTTTTCTCAGATTATCACCATGCAGTCACAGAATATAAGTGTTGGACTGGACTTTGGAAATCATCTAGTCCAATCTCCTGTTTAGTATAAGAATCTAATATTATAGCTCTTCAATAGATAATCAAACATGCCTTTGTTGAAATACCCCCAGCAAAAATCACCACATCCTATTGTGGAACAGTTCTTATATTTTATATTTTTTTTCTTGATGTCCAAATAATGTCTGCCTTCTTGTAATTTGAATTGATGACTTTTTATCTTCCGAAACAATTTTGCCCTGTTTTCTGATAGGTAGCTATCATGGCTTTCTGTAACCTTCTTAGGATAAGAATAGTACTAGTCACGTGGGCATATTTGGCCCTTATGGCCCAAAGATGACCAAAGCCCAGTTTTATGCTAATCATACCCACTCTATGTACCTCTAATGTGGGAACTAATTGCAGGCCAAAATACAACTTCCTGCCTCCCATCAAGTAGGAGACATAAGTATTGTTCTGAAAACCTTCAGAATGGCACATTCATCCTTAAAATGACAATGGGAGTGGGGGAAAGAAGTATTGGAAAAAGAACTATCACTAATGAAAAATAAACTCTTGTTTTTATTTCTTTATGAAGAAACTTTGAGTAAAGTCTTTCAAAGCAGTTTCCCCCCCAAATGGCCTACATTTTCTTCTTGTTTTTTTAGCATTTATTTCGTCATTGTGTTTGAACAGCACTTACACACAAATGGGTGGGAGCCGGAAATTACCATTCTCTAGAAGAACTTCCTTTCAAAAGTATTTTTGATTGTTCATTGGCCATCTGGTCTGGCTTGGGATAACAGAAATTATACAAACACTGTTTTGGTCCAAATCATTAATAGTACAAATGCTAATATTACAATCTTTCACGTATCTAGCTTTATGCATTTCACTGTATTACCTTTCACTTACTAACATCTAGACTAAGAATCTGAAAAGAGATGCCTGGCTAAATTCCAGTATACCTCTCTGCTATAGATAGAGTGTAACAATTGGATTACTTTTGAGAAATCACAACCCTTGTTTCACTCAAATGTTTATGAAGATACGTGTCCTTGTGCTTACTGTCTGAAGCATATATGATTTTAGAATTGTGCTGTTCCTTGTGTACCTAACCCTTTTGCTGCTGTTCTGTTCCTTATCTGATCAGACAGTAGAACAAGGCTGGTTCCACACTATTTATCTGTCTGTCTGTCTATCTATCTGTCCATCCATTGTATATGGCTGTCCAATTCACACCCAGGTGTCTCAGAATGGATTAAAAATCCACAACATAAAACCCCATAAAACATTGCCTCGTGTTGCATTGAACACAGTCTGTCTGGGATATGCTTAGATTACATGTGATCCAGCTTCTGTAGTTATATCAGGAATCTATCATTAAAATGAACTATTGTTTAGCACAATACTTCATTATGATCAAGCAAATACTATGGTTATAAGCTTCTAAAGAAGCCAGAATCAGGAAGCAGTTAATCACAGTGTCTAGTTACATGTAAGGCTGGCAATATGTGCTGTATTTTGAGTTAACGGGATTTGATTTACAGAACTTCATTATCCTGCTCTTGGATGTTGATGGGCCTGACTCTAGCATTTGGTAGGTAGAAGAGAGCCAGTAGCTTAGTTCCTTGCAGAACAGATGCAAAATAATTTCTTTCCATTCATGAATTTGTTTGTAAGTAATACATGGAAATGGATGGATAATGGGACAAAAAGATCAGGGGAGTGGGGGTTGACTTATAAACACTATGTAGACAGTAATAGAGTTTTTTTATTCATAATCAGAAACTTGTTTCACCTTTCTTCATATTCTGGCATGCTGCTTCTCTGTTTTTATAAATCCTCTGTTTCTTGAGTGAATACTTCCAGTTAAAAAAATATTGCAAGTTTTTTTCTCTGATAAGGTTGTGATATTCTATTTATAAGTTTTGGTACATTGAATGCATGTGCGTCAGCATAGCATCAATTTCCTTTGTTAAGGCATTCAGGAATTATTATTATTTTTAGAAGTTCTTTTATAGCTTTTAAAATGCCTGTGTTGAAGAGACATTTATCACAGATGGGCATCCTGGTTAATTGTGTGTATGTTTGATCCAAATAAATTGCTGTTTGAAGTCTCGTAGCAACACTATTCTGTAGGAAAAATGCACTTGCTATGTAGCTACTTTGAAACTAAGATTTTAAAACGTAAATATTTACATCTAATTGACTGTAACGTTTTGCTGTCATTTGTAGTGTGTGCAAATGGTCAGTCTTTCTCTTGGTTCTACTGCAGCATTAACACATGTCTCTTAGCCATCCATGAGCATTAATAGGCCTTTGAATGACTCTTTCTGATCATCCCTTTCCTTCTCATGCTGAAGAAACCTGAATAAAAGCTAACTGGCTGATTATAATGCAGACATAACAAACTAGTGTAAAGAGATAATAAGATGAAGTTAATTCGTACATTAGTGGGCAGAACTAGAGAATGTGCCCCTTTTCCATAAATCAGTGAACTGAGAGAAGTCCTCCTCTTCATGACTGGATTCAATTGACAAACACTGTTTTTAGCTATTTGGTTCATCTTCCTTTCATGGGTAGGAAAAATGCTTCCAGTGCTCTCCAAAGTGATGAGAAATATAAAATAACTAAATGAAAACAGATTATCTGCATAAGCTGTAAGATGAAGGGTTCTTTTTTTTTTCTTTTTCCAAATCATTTTCTAGCCAGGCTAGTTGGGGAAGCAAAGAAAGGCAGCAACACTAAGTTGATTTCTCAGTATGTAGTATATTAAATAGGTGAAGTTAAATTCAGTCCTGCAAAAGTTGCCAATCATTGCAAAGATAGTGGAAAC